TCATTACATGTTACATACTGTAGATCTGCAGGGAAGCTTTTAAGCTTAAATTACTTTATCTTGACACAAAGTCACACACTTGAAGTTCCAGATACGAAATCAGGATTATTGTCAAATTGTTGCAAGACACAATTTTTTATTAAACATGATGCAATGTTTTTTCCTTTATTAATAAAAAAGCATTTTATTTGCCACAAATTTAAAGTCTAAACGGTTTCATCAGAATTTTTTTGTGTCTTGTTGAAAGTTTCTTATTTCAGGTGTGTGACTGTTAACGGTCTTCTTTTGCAGTCTTTAAACACAAGTATATTTTCAAAGCTATATTTCAATATCATCTCAATGCCATCATACAGTCATTTTGCTAAAGCATTGATATTTCAGATTCATTTTCCTAGTTATTTTTAAACAGACTTTACACGGCAGCCACGCACACTCATAAAGAAACATCACCAAAGGGGGAGAGAAAAAAAAAAACCTCCACCGTTATCGTTTTTTAGGCGACCACATTTAAAAGACGGATCCGTCAGAAATGTCAGCTTGTAACTGCTGGAAACTAAGCTGTAATTTTCTGTTTCCTTCTCCGTAACGTTGCTCATCTGTCTCGGGAAAAGTCCTATTAAAAACACTCACACTGGCACATGCATACGAAGAAACTCCCTCAGATCACGCAACTAAAATGATGTAAAAAGAAAATTTCCTTCATGTCTCACAACAAATTCGGTTCAAACAGCAAAATAAATTAATTTAAAACCCTCTCAAAGCAGCTGATTCCAATAATGTCAGATGCACGAGCAGAAATCCGTCTTCTCGATTTTTACTGAAACCAAGGGCTGAAGTGTGAAATATGTCACCTTTTTACTGAAGATATTAAAAGCAGGACTACACGTGAAAGCAGTGCATACACTTTGCCAGTATGTTGTTTTTGTCCTGCTGCCGTGTTATAAAGCTGTGATAAAATGTGCCCGGAAACAAAAATTAAATGAGTTACACGTTCACTTGAAACATGTCAAAGAGGAAAATACATACAGCTCAACATCTTGTTTTACAAGTTACTGCTGATTGTTTCATACGATTCATACAGTTTGACTTCCTTCCTATGAGCAAACACTCAAAAATAGTTATTTACATCAAGCACCTTGGGGAAACAGCGTCCGCTATTATAGTTAGTCTTTTTTTCTGCTGCGTCACAATCGGTTTTATTTTGGCACTCAGTGGCTACCACCTATTTTATTACATTTCTTTTAAATTGCTATCCTTAAAGAGGCTCTGCTCAACCATGCAGCTCTGCTTACACAACTAGTAAGCTGCAATAAAACTAGTTATTCGCAGCTCAAACAAGACACGTCGGTGTCAGGGAAGTTAGGTATACGGTTCAGTTTTCAACATGGACTCCAGACGAGCTTCAAGAGCAGAATCATCACTGCAGCATTCAGACTTCATGGCTAGAATTTGTTGTTTATCTGCTGATCTTACAGCAGGATCTGTTCCAGCTGTTCACACAGAAAATGTTGCGAAAATCACAATAAAGCTGGTCGATCTTTACCGTTTTGCTGCTAAAGCGACGTTTTCTGTTGGACCTTACCTCCAAGAGAGCAATGCAAACAATAGTTCAGATGTGAAAAAGTTACGAGTGATTAGCATCCTACCTGTTCTAGTTTCTTGAATGAACTCAGTTTGGAGAAAGAGTTGATTTCTGACAGGATTGACAAGACACCAGTTAGACTGAGCAAAGACCAAAGAGGATTGCTGTCGTCTTAAAACAACTCCAGTTTCAAAGTAGGTCAATTTTATTTATATAGCGCCTTTCAAGATGAAAAGCACAAGATGCTGAATCACATAAAAACTACAAAGATTTAAAAAAAAGGTAAAATAAGAATTAAAGTGATATAAGCTAAGCTTAAGTCGGTGTTGACCCGATCTGACCTTTTAAAAAATAGTCCATGCCTTCGTTACAACCCGACTGAACTGCTGTAACGCGCTCTGTTGGGGTCAGTCAGGTTTCCCTTTCACGTCTCCAGCTCGTCCAAAATGCTGCTGCTCGGCTCTTAAAAAGGAAGTCGTAGGTTTGATCATATCTCACCAGTTTTGTCCTCCCTTCCCTGGCACCCTGTACGTATCAGAATTGATTTTTAAATTATCCTGCTAACCTTTAAGTGCATAAATGGCCTTGCACCCTCAAGTCTCTCTGAGCTACTTCAACCATATGTTCCTTCTCAGGTGCTGAGATCATCGGATCAGCTGCTTTTGGCTGTTCCAAAACCCAGGTTGAAGCTCAGAGGAGATCGGGCTTTTACAGTCGTGAGCCCTAAACTTTGAAACAATCTGCCCCACAGGCCACTTCACTTCCTGTTTATAAATCTCTTTAAAAAAAACACACCTGTTTTCTCTGGCTATTAACATAGTGTGATTTGATTTAATATTTTATTGTTCTGTGTTTTTATGTTTTTCTTTTGATGTTTTTTATTAATTTTTGTTTTATTTATATATATATATATACCTATATTTAATTATATATCCTGCTTGTGGTGTGTTTCTCTATCTGCTTACATTCATACTGTTATCAAAC